CCGTCGAGCTCTCGAACTCCAACGTGATCATTGTCATGACTCCGGCGCAACTACCTCGCTGCATGTCTTACTCTCATCGTAGTTAATCCTGCACACTTATCTCAACACATACATTAGACAACAAATGACAATTGACTTCATCATCAAAATCCGAGATTCAACAGGGAGGCCAAGCCTCAAGTGATGCACCACCGCCAGCCGTGGTAGTGCCACTGCCTGGGCCAGCTAAGGGTTACTGAATGGGCCTTCCACTTCACCCAAAACAATCCCAACTCAGGCCCAGTTGGCCCCTAATTGAGTTGGCATGATTACATCCGAAACTAACTCAATTAGTCCTTTAAACTACTTCGATCTAGACAAATTATTACAAAGAATAGATCCTTTATTATCTGGTATATTATTGGTTTATTTGGCATTTCGTTCGATCCTTCGGCACATCGTCCTCCCCGTCGACATATTTTCCAATCAATATGTTGACCTTCTGCAATATCCGATCTTCTTGGTGCAATGTCCGATCCTTTGGCTCGATGCTTGAACTCATAGCACGAAGACCTTTTGTCGGCACGTCGATCGATCCTCCGGTCTAACGTCCAATCTTCTGACATGTTCACTCTGGCTCAACCTCTGAGTCCACTTCTTTAATCGATTTGTCTTTCTCTATTTGAAGCTAGTCTTGCTTCACTTAAATGCATATTAGATCATAACTTTATTAATTAGTTTTATCATCAAAATCCGAGATTCATCATGATCTTCGCCCATTGAAAAAAAGATCGGTAGTGAAAGCCGGTGACCTTGAGTGAAGAGAAATCGAGAGTAAACGTAGATCGGGACGATCGAACCACTATAAATCGATTTGTATTATGTTTTTCATTATTATTACAAACTGATTTACTTACTCATTACTCATACAAATGTTTTTAAGTTAAATATATTTTCGATATGATTTTGATCGAATGAGTTTTCATATCTTCGTAATTTTTTTAAAGCACTAATTTACCCCCTCTTAGTATCTTTACGATCCCAAAAATCTATATAGTGGATATATACCCATATCTATATTATGCGGGGGAATGAAACGAATAATTAGGCATTCGGGACCATCAAAATTAAGTGAGGGCAGATTTAGCTCCCCTGTTTCGGCGGAGGCAGAGAACAGGTTCTCCTCTCCCGCTGCAACGGTTGACATCAGAAAGAAGCTTCGTGACGACATCCCAACCGCTGAGCCGGGCAGCTTTGCAAGGAAAACCCTGGTTCTTGCTGGGGACGAGACAGGAGATTCGCCTCGCCGGCTTTAATCGTCCGGTTCGTTTGGGTATCGACTTCCGCGAGCCATGCTCGCCCGACGGGGCTCAAAGTGGGTGGCACCCACAGTTTCGACCGGTCTCTTTCCTCGTCGCACGGACACCGGATTGCCTTCTTGTCTCCACTCGGAACCTGAAGCCAACATCGTGTGTGACCAACAGTGGCAGTGGTGGCTGGATACAACTCGAGCTTAACATTAGTAGTTCAAATCTTTGCCTCCTATGTTACATGATATAATAATGTATCGTCTGCAAGTACAACAATTTGATGCAGTTTCCATGAAAAAGCCAGAGCAGACCATCGCGACTTTCTCAATTTCATAATTTTTAATATATGGAACGCATCATTATTATTTTAGATTTTTTTTTTATATCGGTTGTTGCAATCGTTGTTCTCGTTTCGTGAAAGCCTTTCATTTTGATCGATGTTAACGGATTTGATTAGCTGTGAGCCAGCCGTTCCTTATCAAGGTTGTTCACACCGAACATCAAAATAAAACATTCTTCATTTTCTTTTTTATCGGAGGGGAGTCACTAATTTTATATAAATATTTTTGTTGAGATTAATTATTTTCACAATTTTTTATTATTAACAATTTTACTCGCAGAAAAGACACTTGATTGACATATTTTATTGATCAATAAGGATTTTGGAAAATTAATTGCTCTAGAAATATATATATATATATATATATATATATATATATATATATATATATATATATATATAATTTTAGGCTTTTGCATCTGTCGTAAGAAGATAAGTTGAGGAAATTTTGAGCTTTTTCGCATAGTGAACAATCCGATTATCTTATCAAGAACTAGACAAAATAATATAATATAATAATTCTGGATTTTAATTTAATTACATATAGATTTCTTTCCTGCAATTCTTCTGAACTCCCCATATTCCCTTCCTAATCAACACACATGGTGTGTTCATTTTCTTGAAATATCCACAAGCATCAACGAGAGCACATGATCAAGTAGCCCAGTCATGGAGAAACTGAACCTACCATGGATGGATGCAAACAGAAACTCTAAGCCAATGATTAATTAAAGCAGTTAAGAAGTCTAGTACATGATATTTTCTCCCGTCTGGTGTGATCATGAAATGTAAGAAACCACTCAAGCCACAGAAATGCACAAATCATACGAGGGTGGGTAGAGCAGCTGCAACAACATCAAACGCATGTACCGGTGAACTAGATAAACAAACACACATCAGAAACTGTGGACACCATGTATGACCCTCAGATCTCCTGGGGGTGATACTAAATTAACCAAGGATGAAAATGACAGTATTGACTCTCCCTAGGACCTGAGGAGGCTCCGAATGATATCGGCCTGAGGGCTGTCGCTGTCCATCGTCGCCATTAGGCCGGAAAGCCGGTCGCTCAGACCGTCCACCTCTCGGTGCAAGCTCTTGATGTAGCTGCATGTCTCCTTCAGTAGCTTCGACGCAGATGCCTGCAATATCCAGTGCACCTTCATTGCATGAGTGGATGTGAACAAGAAGAGAGACTCAATCGGTGTTTCATGCCCTTACTCTGCCTATGTTCCTGCGGCGGGACTCGGGGAGCAGTGACTGAAGCTTAGAGACTAGCTCATTGATCTCCTCATCTGTTATCCTCCTACCTCTGCCTGACATGATCTTGATGGCTACAGAAGCTTCTCGGATTCTCTTTTGTTCTCTTTTTATTGCTGAACCAAGTGTAGGGGAGGGGAGAGATGGCAGAGCACAAGGAGAAGGAGGCCCAATGGAAGTGTATATAAAAGAGAAGGAGAAAAAAATAAGAAAAGAAAGAAAAATAAAAAAAGGTGGTGAGGAGGAAATTAAGGGTAGGAGAAGTGCCACTTCAAGGCAACAATGTACCAAGACCGAGCCCTATTTTTGATCATCCATTTCCCATGGACCCATGGAGACAATAGGAGCCCACCCCCACTGGCCAAACAGTTTCACTTCTCTAAGCAATAGCTACAACAAAGGAATCAGTGAACCTTGGAACATTCATGGACATAGTTGTTTAACCATTTTACTCTGTACCTGAAAGATGCCTTGTGTCCCTTCTGCTTTCAACGAAGGACATCTCTTTGTTCTTACTAATAGTCTCCTTTTTGAAGGTTTGTACAGTTTGTGAATTCCTAAATCTCCAACAGGATGACTGCTAATTGCAAATTTGTGTTGGTCGTGAATGGAGATTAGGATATCATGGGTGTGGTTGGAGATGAGGGAATAGGTCATCACAAGGGAGCCACGACATATACTCGTTCCCTAGCCTGATACAGGATGGCAGTGGGCGGCTGGAAACTGACCTCCAGCATGGGGTGATGTCATGCTTCTGGTGGATGTCGACGACCAAGTCACCCGAGGCCTCGGGAGCATGCATGTGAGATTGTGTGTGAATTGGAGGCCAACCATGTTCAGTGGGCCTCGATAATGTGGCCCACTGTAGCCTCGTTTAACTTTAACAGGGTTCTTAATGTGGATGGAAGTTGACAAGTTGATAATAGTAGTTATAAAGCAGCCCTTTGGTCTCTAAGAGGAATGTAAACTCTATGTAGGTGGTGGTACCTCGCTATATAGGAAAGTTATAAAAGGATTATTCTATCCCATCCAAACATCTAAATCATCCGTCTGACTTGAGCAAAAAGTAACTATCAAAAAGATGATTCACCGAATCGGATGACCAAAAAATAATAATAATAAAGCAAGAGATGAACAGTTCAGGAGGTTCTTTCTTATGTAGGCTACTCTGTATAGAGTTTCCATTTCTCCTTAAGAGAAGAAAGTACAGGTCATGTCGGAGAGAGAGAGAGAGAGAGAGAGAGAGAGAGAGAAAAGGGCATTGAAAGTGTGTGGGGGGACACATGGAAAGAGACTTTCATCAAGTGTAACAAGAATAGGCAGCCACATGCTGGTGTTTACTATACTAAAAGGAAGAAATTCCCAAATTGAGGAGTAACAGGAGAGGTGATACTGACCTCTGATGGCTTGCCAAATATATTACATGGGCTGCCTGCCCACTGCTTCTATCCCCGCATTCACATGTTTCTTTGATATGAATAACATATGAACATGCGAAATTGAAATAGAGATTGAGAGAGATGCTTCGTGCCTAGGAACTTTCATATTCCATGAGACACAAGACCAATGATTCTGTTGACCAAGAGAACTGTAGAGGAGAAAAGAGAATCCAAAAAAGAGAGAGAGAGAGAGAGAGAAAAGAACACTAAAAGACAAAGTTTGCAGATATATATTAAGGGTATCAAACTAAAATATATATTTTTTGAATGAGGAAAAAAAAAAGAATACCTTAAATTGAAGGGTTTAAAGAATTGATGTCGAGAGGAAACAAGTTATCATTTTAGGGACTTCGACCATATAAATTCCCCATTAATCATGTCTTGTATTCATGAAAGTCTTAAAACATAAAATCCAAGTTCATCAGAAATATCAAGCTCCAGCAATTCTTCTCATTAAGGGAAAATTGTAAGCTTCGACCTAAAAAAGATGTGAAGAACAGGTCAATATCACAAGACTTTTAACGTTGAAACTTTCTTAGCACAATCCAACTATTGTCGAGAGATAAATCTTACTGTTGAGGACCAATTCTTCAACCCTCCCTCCAATGATAAAAATGAGAAATGATATAATTTCTCACTCAGTTTTTCTTGCATCCACTCCTGGGCTGGGTTGTGCCACCCCTTCCCAACAGCACTGTTGAATTCACCAAATGCAGCGACAACTTGTTCTTCACATAATAATCTATCAGTCAAAAATCAATCACAACGTTCTTATCAACTTTTCACCCTTTCCCGTATAAGTAACAGAAGAAAGGATCAAAAGGAACAACAACTATAGACCACCAAAGATGGCAGATCGGATGGGAAAGCCTTGTCGCAAGAAATGGGGACAACTCCAAATGTAGTCTTCATGGTGAAAGATCTCAACTTTAGCAGCTAAGCAGATCAGACAAAGACTTAAACCAATTGTGTACCTTGAGGATCATTATTGTGAATGAATGCATGATATAGCATCAAACAACATGTATAATTGCTGTACTTCAAACAGAAATCTCAGAAAAAGGGGGTTTGATGCGTGATGTAGCATGAAAGAAAATTTAACAGTGATGTCGAAGGGGGAAAAGGCTAATGCCAAAGGGCGAGCAAGATAAGAAAACCCGCAAAAGAATATTCAATCATCAAAACCTTTTGAACTGAATCGAAGAACAGATGAATACCAATCGAATTCACTCACATCGGGAATCAGCTCATCATTCGAATATCAAAGATTCATCAAATTGCATGAGAAAGAGAAGACAATCTCATACTTGATTTGGGGTTCCCCCATCACCACCCATCGTTCACGGAAGAAAGACTTGGTGGCCTAATTATGTTACTAATTACAGGCTCGGTGGGGGTGTAACGTGACCCAATTAAAGCTCACGTGGCTTCAACATTTATTATTATTATTATTATTATTATTATTATTATTTTGATTATCAATCTGATTAGATGAACTTATTCTAGTATGTTTTTCGAGTTGTCATGTTTAAAAATAATCAATAAAATCTCGAGAACATGATCATCATTCAAGAAAAAAAATAAATTGATTAAAGATCAAGTCACTTAGTATTTATTTAATAAGTTTAGAATAAAAAATATATCTAATAAATATTGCTCCATGTAGTGTCAATTTCGTAGTCACTTAATAGGAGTATATTCATTTTAGCTATCATGTCCATGCGGTATATTTAATTAACACTTTGTCACTTCTGAAAGTTGATATATCGTGTAGTAGGTGGTGTTGACTGTATTCCAATCTCAATTAACTAAAAATAATAACCAAATCAATTATATTTTACAAATAATATTTGTTCTCACATGTAGTAGTAATACCCAAGTATATCCCTCATAATTCTAGCCCTCGACAACATTTGTTTTCTCTACAATATATATATATGTTTTACTCTACAAATATTTGTTTTCTCTACAACATTTGTTTTACTCTAAAAAATTAATCAATGGATGATTAAAAATATATTAAATATATATTTAATAATACTAAAATATATCTCATTTGAAAGTTAATTTGATGGAAGGATCCCGTAGAGTCTAATTTTAAATCTATGATTTGCTTTGATAATTTCATTAAAAGCTTAAAATATATATATATTAGTCTTTAAACCACGAGATCTATTTAATTGACTAGTTAGTATGTGTGGATCAACATGTAAGCATCCATGTCAACAAAGCATCAACGTCAATATCTATGTCGCAAATTTAACGTACCTACTGTCAGTGATTGTCATTTTAGTTAATGTTGTCAGAATCTCGAGTGGTACAGTAATGATTCGTGTCAAAAAATTATCCAATATAACTTTTGTAGATCAAACATTCTAATCGAATAACCATCTTTGCTTCAGTTAAACAAAGGTGAACTCGCTTCACTAAAAATAAATATATTAACAAATTGATACAGGAGGATCGTATCATAAGAAAATGATACGGTTGACCAACAATGTCTTTGCCAACATATGGTACTGAGGTTGAGCAACTCTTTTTTTCCCTCCATTAATACTTGTATTCTTACGCAGCCTATCATACATATCAAGAAGGCGTTTCACTCAAATGTGAAGCCCAGTCAAGCGTCAAATCATATCAAGCTATACAAAACACAATTGCAGGAGATGAATTAGCATCTTATAGACGTGTGATAGGAGATATGCACATGTGTCAGACGTTTTACCTTTTCTTGATGCCCGAGTTGGCCGCCACCTCCTTCGATCTCGCCTGTCTCCTCTAGCTCATCGATGAGGTACGCGCAAATGACGTCGACATCCTTGACACGATTTGCCAAAGTCAATATTAGATGGTGAGGCTACATTAAAAACATAAAACAAAGTTTCCCAGCTCCACTTTACGAAGGTCAAATCAAAATCGAAGTGAAAGTCGAAGTAAATTCTCTTAAGTATTTAGCTATAAGAGAATATGTAAAAAAAATAAATAAATAAATAATTGAACATATTAGTACCGAATTGATGATTGTTGATCCTTTGAATAAAAGCATGCCACTTCTAAAATTCAAGGATAAAAAATGAGATTTGATTTTACTTTATAATAATATTAAAACTCTTATATATTGTGATATTTTTTTATTTATGTGTACATTAATTTAAGAAAATATATTGGTACTAGACCAAGAATAAACATAATATTTATTCATTAAGTAATATTACCACATTAAGATTAAGAAATTAAATACATCGTGATACATGGATGATAATACTCGCTCTCAGAGGACTTATCACTATGATTCATATATTTATTTCTTAAGAAAATTATTCGATAAAGATTAATTCAAATTATTAAGTTAAACGTATAAACTAAGAGGGAGAATATAACCGTTCTCATTAAGTTCACCATTCATTATCATGAATTTCTTCATTTATTATGGTTTAAATATTTTAATTTTTTTATTCATTATAAATATAATTATTAGTATTAAATATTTTATTTAATATCATTAAAATTCTTTATTATGGTCTAAATGTTATAAATTCTTTATTATGGTCTAAATGTTATAAATTCTTTATTATGGTCTAAATGTTACAAATTCTTTATTATGGTCTAAATGGGAGAATGTCTATATAAATGATGATTTTGGTCCCTGGGCTTAACATTTTTCTCAAGTCTAAAGAATTTTCTGCACCATCTAAAGCGAGAGTTTTAAGCCGAGAAGTGCCAAAATATAAAGAGAAACCATTGCTGAAATTCTTTACAACAATGGCTGGAGATACATAATTTTTGTTTCCGTATTAGTTTTCTTGTGTTTCTATTATAATGGTTTAGAAACATATTTTAGTATAAAAATTTCTAACATAGTCCATACAAATTAGTTTGGGTTTCCAAAGGAACCATAAATCACTCAATGATAGATAGATCTATTTATGAGAGACCCAAGGTTAAATGGGTACATAAAAGAAAACCCCTATTCTTGTAGATATGTCTATAATCACTAGCTAGAAGCAAAAATAAAATTTTAATTGTGGATGCAAAAGGTTTTTGATCGGAGATCCAACATACTTTACAAAGCTCACTAGCCAAAACAAAATGATTTTAATTGAAGATGCTTTATGAAATCATACTTGATGATTTTATATTATGCATGAGGATTTCAAGTAATGATAATTTAAAATCTTATATTTTGGAATTATATGTTATACTTTTGATTTAATGATTTTTGTGATAAATATTATCTTTCGGTTTTAAATCATGATGCATGGTTTATGTATAGAATGATAGAGCATACTAAGTATAAAAATGAATTAAGATAAAGAACCTTAGCTATTTTTAATCTTATAGGAAACTATCTACGTTCCTTTCATTGGATTTCTCGAAAAGTTATTTTGATAATGACTTTGGATTTGTTTTCATATGAGATGATATGTCGGTGTTTACAACTTGAGATGTACCATAAAATAATTTTCTTGATTCTCGAGAATATTTATCCAAATAAACCTTAATTCTTTCACTTGATATTTTTTGAATTTATTTCTATTTTTTTATTAATCATTTTTCTATGATTCTACCCCCAATTGACCAAGGAAGGGATTTATTCAAATAAACCATGATATATCACTAGACTTCTTGATGTCTATGACTTGAATCGTATTATAAATTTTCTTGTATTTATATATCTCATGATATGATTGAATTCTTGATGTACAAGGATAGAAAATTGTTGACCTGCAC